AACCCTAACGCCTCCACATGACCATTCAAATCACCCAACAACACCACAAACTCATCCAACCCCGCTTGCCCAATCTCGTCAGAAACATCATCATAAAACCTATCCTTCTCTTCTTCCTTCCTACTTTGTTGCGGAGCATATCCTGATATTACCATCACTATTAACTTTTCAAACACCATCAAAACCACAATTACACCATTGCTTTTCCGCCTTACTTCCAACACCTTCTCCACCAACTCTTTTCTTACCATCACACCAACTTTTCCCGTACCATCATCCCCCCCTTCTACTACAACTTATACCTTCTACCTTTACCCCCACAAACCTTGTACCCTTTCCCTTCCATCTGATCTCCTGTAATGCAGCCACGTCAACCATTCTTCTCTGCAACTCCTCTCACTACTTTCTCCATTTTCCAAAATTTTAGAAAAAATAATGTTTTGTAGACAATTTTTTTTCTGATATCATGTTGTTAGTAACAACCAATTTGGTTTCAGACCTTATTTTTCAACTGAATTAGCTGTGTTGCATCTAGCCCACACAGTGATGAATAAATTAAATGATGATATTTTGACGGTTGGTGTTTTTATAGATTTATCAAAGGCGTTTGATATGATTGACCATGACATCCTACTTGCCAAACTGTATTCCTATGGTGTTAGAGGTTTAGTACATTTATGGTTCTCATATCTTAAGAATAGGAAACAATTTGTTAATATTGGTGATCATTGTTCTGAGACTTTTAATATCAGTCTTGGAGTTCCTCAAGGTTCCATTCTACGAACTCTTCTCTTTACAATATTTATTTAACGACTTGTGTCATGCCTCTGAAATAGCCAAATTTGTTCTTTATGCGGATGACACCACTATTTTTTTCCACACCAAAAATCCTGCAAATGATTCGTCTACAATAAATGGTGAACTTGAAAAAATAGTTAATTGGTTTATCTTAAATAAGCTTAGAATCAATTATTCCAAATGCAGTTATTTAATATTTGGTCCGAGGATTTTAACAAATTCTTTGCCTGACTTAAATATTAATATTAACTCTAACAATATTACCCGATCTGATTCAATAAAGTTTCTTGGAGTCTTAGTTAAAATTAATCTTTCCTGGGACAACCATATTAATTTTATTTTTGACAAATTTAACAAATTAATAAGTATACTACACAAGATCAAACATAAACTAAATAGAAATATACTTCTGGAACTGTATAACACACTCATTTATCCTCATCTCGTTTATTATAACTTACTTTGGGGTAATTGTCCTGCTGTGCACTTGAATCAGGTCAAACGGTGTCAAAACCGTTTAATTCGTTTGTTACTAAATCACCATCCGTTTTGCTCTGTTTCAAAATATTACCCCGTTTTGAAAATTTTAAATATAAACAACATCCACGTATACTTTGTCTCAATTTTCATGTTTAAATACCTACATGAATTACTTCCGCTTTCTTATAAAGATTTTTTTACTCTAATAAATACTATTCACAATCCTACTTTTTTTTCAAATCCAGCCCGAATAAAATTAATAAATAAAAGTTTGAAACGAACAGGACCGAAGGTCTGGGACACGGTGATTCCACTTGAGATTAAAGCTCTCAGTCACTTGCATTTGTTTAAATCTAAAATTAAACGCTACCTTATTCAAAAAAATACTATTTTCTTGAATTAGGAAGTGTTTGTTATTATCGATTATATAAAATTATGTTGTTTTTTTTTCTATGTACCTTATGTGTTATGTGCATGTATGTATGTGAGTATGTGTGAATGATAGAATGCGTGTAATGTATGAATGGATCTATGTGTAATTTCTTTTGACTTTAATATTCTATCTGTTATTATTTGAATTCACTGGATTTAAATAATGTTATTGATTATATGTATTTATAGATTTTTTGTTATCTTTATTGGTTATCTGTGTTTAATAGTTATATAGAGGTAATTATGTTTTGATTATCTTACATTAAATAATAATAAAAATGATATTAACAATCGTAATAACTTTAAAGAATGTATTCCTCTTGTACCATTTATTTCGAACTAATATATAACTTATAACTTATATAGTGGTAATTATGTTTTGATTATTTTACATTAAATATGAATAAAAATAATGTAAACAATCGTAATAACTTTAAAGAATGTACCTTTTATTTCGAACTAGTTTAATTAATTTAATCTCTGATTTTTAACTACTTTAATCTTTGATTTATGTTGGTCATTGTTGATTTTATTTGGATAGGGTGACTTTCCTACAAGCATTTGGTTGCTTTTTAGTTTATCCCTCTTTTTTGAGAATATTGAGAATATATATATATATATATATATATATATATATATATATATATATATATATATTTTTTTTTTTTTTGCTGGCAAAAGACCATAATTAATGCAGTAATTTATAAAATCTAAATTCTTGTCATTATTTATTTTATTAACGTGAGAATAATATTCAGTTTTCAAATTCATACTCGAGTGTGTAGTGTACCTATTTTGATTTTTCAATAATCTTCAGCACTTATTGAAGTTTATCTAGAGAATTTGTATAACCCAGTACTTGTTCCAGTTTATATGTGGAATTTTTATTACCCAGAGCTTTGCTTCTGTGATTTGGATTTATCATTATTATTGAGCATTTCTTTATTTTTATCGATTTGTCAAAAGCGTTTGACAACGTTCACAGGTCTTCACCGTGGAGATGCTTTTAAAAAATTGGCTGCTCTTCAATCACTGTAGCCAATAATCCACTCCTTTCATGAAAGTGCTATTAAAAATGGTCAGTGCTTTCTAAGCTTTAAAGTTGCCAATGGGACAAAACTGTTGCGTGCTGTTTTATCTACTGTTCCACTTGATGTTACTGGTCGCTTTTCAGAGTTTCAATGAGGGTGTTCCAATTTGTTATCAGCATCAGATGCTTGCAGGCAAAGACAAAAACTTTGATGGCCACCGTTTCTTGACCACCTCTTCGCTGATGAATGCGAAACTTGCACATTCACCTCAGGTCAAGTCCAGCCGTTGTTCAATTGTTTTTACGACACAGCCAAAAGATTCGGACTCAAGAGTCAGTCTAAAAAAAGGCAGAAGCTTTATATCAATCGTATCCTGTGTTTGCAAAGGCAACGATCGACGTGATGGCAGATGATGTTCTCATTAATTCCATTAGTAGAATTTTCTACCTTGGTTAATATGTTATTTGTCGAACACTCTTTGTATCGAGGAGGACGTCAGAGCAAGGCTAGCGAGGGCAGAAGATATATTTGTTTAACTGAACAGACGGCTGTGGGTCAACATGGTATCTCTCTGTGCACCAAGGTTACTGTTTACAGAGCAGTCTTGTTATCGTCACTGTTGTATGGATGCGAAACTTGGATTACATATCGCCGTCACATATGTAAGCTTGATCGGTTTCATATGAGATGCCTTCGTAAAATTGCCCAGATAGAACGACAAGGTGCCTAATACAGAGGTCCTAAAGATTTAAAATCGTTCTCTGACTATCTCTTAGATGAAATCCATCACTTATAAATTGAGATAACTGTAGGCATTGCTCCGCTGTCCTTATTCGGTCTTATCGTTGATTCCTCTATTTTCTTCTAACCACTAGCTCAGTTTATTTTTAATCATCCTTTCCATCATCTTTCCAACATTTGGTCTGTAGCTGGATATTTGTGATGGTTTTTTGTCTTTTACAACACGTGCATTATTATAGTTGTCTTCCATAATTGCGGAGATTCTACTTTTGTCCAACACTCATTGTATATTTGTAGCAGCTTCGTATGTGCTATTTCGGATAACTGATGTAACATGTTCACCCCTAATCCACCATCATCAGCTGTCTTGTCCAGTTTCATTTCATATAGGGCTCTCTGGTATTTGCCGTTACTGAATGGAAGCTCTACTTCTGTTATCCGTTGATGATTCAAACTTTGTAGTTTCTTGGTTGTTTCAACTTTAATTCTGCGAAACTCTTTGTCACTAGTTCGTCCGTTTACTTCTGCGTATTCCTGTACAAATGCGTATTCCTCGTTTATCCGTTGTCCATAGCCTGTTTTTATATTTAATAATTTGTTGGCAACTTGTTGTGTATTTTTAAGTGATTCTTATATTATAAAATTTTTTTTTTCAAACTTAACACTTTTCGGAGTTGGATAAAATAAATCCGACCCCGGTCCAATAATAAAATCCAACTGTGGCTTGGACCTCCGACTGTGACAGACTCCGACACCATGATATCATTATCCGCTAATAATAATGTGGATAAAGAAAAATGATAAATGCGTCTATTGTTACAATTTTGCATGGGCGAATTAGAAAAATTATAAATGCTTCAATTGTCGCAATTCTTGATAGGAAAAATTTGCTATTTATGGTAATGATAGCATCCATATAAAAAAGGCGTTATGTAAAGAAACAAGAAAAATAAACATTAACATTTTTAGACCATACGACTATTTTCAATGCAATAATAAAGCTACATTATGTTATACAATTTTGAAAACATATAATTATGAATTTATTTTAATGTCTACTACACTAACAGTTCGTTAAAAGTTATGTAGATTAGCTGTTTATGTAAAAATGTTAGGAGATTCTCATAAAAATTTCTTATTTTTATCGTATTGTGTTTTGCAACACTGTTCAACATTTTTTTCTTTAATTTAAATAATTTTTTAAACCTAGTTTGATAATTCTTAATTAAAAATAGTACACTAATAAGTTGTTCAATTTGATCTTAGATTAAGCTTTTATTATTCACAGAAAATATAACATCACAGATAAAGTTATGCGCTTAGGTTTATAATCTTAAAAATATTTAACGAAAGAAAATTTAGTTTAGTATAAGCCTGGTAAAACTAGGACAGGCATCTTTTTTTCGATGTTAAACTTACAGTAAAGTTTTCTGATGTATAAATTTCTATTATCTTTTTAAATATATAAGTATTTTGTATTTTTAATTATTTATTAATTTATATTTTATTTTGTTATAGAGCACAAAGTCATAATAGTGGGACTTGATAATGCTGGAAAGACAACCATATTGTATCAATTGTTAGTTTTTAATGATTCCCAATGATAATTTTTTTTAATGCAGTTCAATCAATCAACCTTCGTTTAGCGTCCAGTTTCCCGAGGTAGGACGTTGTTTTATCTCCCATAAACTTTTTGCGCCAAATTAGACGATCAGTTGTATCCATTTCATTTAAATTTAGAGCTTTCATGTCATGCTCGATTGTTTGCGACCAGGACTTCTTTGGACGGTCTTTGGGACGTGTGCCAGGTACTTCAACATCTGCAAGAGAAGTTATGGCAATATAGAGGCAATGAGATGCTATTTATTCCAGGCTGCACGTATGCGTGCTCAAACGGCAGCTTCAGCTGTTCCAGTACAGTCTAGAACATCTAGATATTGAAACGATGTGACTTTCTCTACCTTAATGGCTTCAAAAACATTGCTATTTCGAACTTGTTGTTGTGGATTGATGCAAGCAGGACAAACAAAATTGGACACTTTAGATAAAGTACCAATTATTTTTGAACAACGTTTGTTACACTGCTGACACCTGATTGAATTGAGTACCTTCACCAGCTTTACAAACTGAACAGGACCATCGTCCAGTAGCTGTGGATTGGATGAGTTCACCAGTGTTCATTGCTTTGGTTGTGCTGATGTTGACTTTGAATCCATGATCGGCGAGTCTGTTTTTCCAATCTTTGTGCTGCATTCTGCTCAGACGTGGCTGTTATCAGCATATATTAGATTCCAAATGTCACCAGTGCGTATCGGCTTTGTGATTTCTTCCATCACAGTTATAAATAACAGTGGACTGAGAATCGAGCTTTGGTCAACTCCTACGCCAATGTCAAATGCATCTGTGTTTCCAACCGTTGTGCTGACTACTAAGACTCTATCTTAGTATTCGTATACATTTCCATCACAAGTCGAACAAGATATTCTGGAATGAGTTGTCGACGTAGACTCCACCTGATTGCTTCACGGGGAACTCGATCAAATGCTTTTTCAAGGTCTACAAAAATGTGTGATAGTTGTTGATGCTTTGCGAGGTACTTCTCTTGCAATTGCGGAAGGATGTGAATTGCATCAATTGTTGATTTCCCCGCTAGGAAATCAAATTGATAATTTCCGATTATGATGCACGACGTTAATCTTCTCCCAACGATTTTCTCGACAATTTTCAGGGAGTGTTCTAACAGACGTATACCCCGATACGATGAACAGTTCAATGATCACCTTTGCCTTTGTATAGCGGAACTGTCATGCTATAGTTCCATTCAGTCGGCATTGAGCAATTTCTCCAGACTTTACGGCAAAGTTGTAGTATTGTATGGATACCTGCAGTACCACGTGCTTTGATAATGTCGTTTGTGAGTCCAGAGGGCCCTGCTGCCTTTCCATTCTTCATAGCTTTCAGAGCTTCTGTAAGCTCCTCTACAGTGATGTCTGGAATCGGACCTTCGATGAGTGCATCGTCAAAGTTGACATTGATGTAATTTGTTTCATTTAACAGACGGTTGAAATATTCTCTCGACTATAGCTTGACTCATCTTGTTCAAGAACCATCTCATTTTTGTCGTTTTTGACACATGAGGCACCAACTAAGTCTTTTTTCGTACGCTTTGCTTGTTTTGCTATACGACAGAGAGATTTCATTTGTTCACCTTTGCTTTTAGTGAGCCATTCTCTGCACTGATCTGTCCGAGCCAGTGCAACTTGACGTTTTACATAGTTGTTCTTCTCACGAAAAATTTTATGGTCATCAACAGACTTTGATTTTTGCCATTGCTTGTATGCAGCTTTCTTTTCAGTTATTTCATTTTGTACACTGTCATTCTACCACCAAGTGTTTCGTTCATGCTGACGTTTTGTACCATTTTTCCCACAAACTGTAGTTGCAGCGTTTATCAAAACAATTTTGTATGTACTCCAACCTGTACTGGCTTGCGATTGGTGATTTAACTGTGTTGCGACAATCTGTTGAAATTTTTCTCGATGAATATTGCTTTTCAGCTTCCGCGTTTTGATTCTCCGAGGCATTTGTTTAGACTTATGTTTTGACAGTTCGACAAGGAGTCTATGTTGAGTGACACATGATTCGCCAGGTATAACTTTGACATTTTTGAATAGCTTTCGGTGCTGTTGCTTGACAGCGAAGAAATCAATTTGCGTGGCTGATGGTCCACTTTTGTATGTTATGAGTTGTTTCAACCTCTTTCTAAAATATGTGTTCAGTAAACAAAACCCGTGACTTTCAGCAAACTCATGGATGCGGTTGCCATCTTCATTCCGTTCTCCATAGCCAAAACCGCTATATACGTTGTCAAAATCATCTGTTTTCTCTCCAACGTGGCCATTGAGATCGCCTCCAATCAGTCAGGATTGTTTCAGATTTTGGTATTGTTGAGATGGTGTTTTTAATGCAGTTACTGCTTTTAATATCAATGTGACCAGTACAGTTTACCATGGATCATTATTTATACCAAACCAATTCATAATAAACTTAGTACAGTTTACCCTGGTTCAATACTTATACCAAACCAATTTGTAAAAAACTTAATACTGAGCTGAGCCAAGCTATGCCACTTCATCTAACTTAACCATTGAAACCAACGGGGAGGGTGTGTTGCAATGGTTTGTTTGTTTGTTGTTCCTTCTTCCAACGCTCCAATCGATTCTACTTCGTGAAGATCGTGCTCCAGGACCAACTAAAGACGAAACAAAACTTAAAGTGGCTGCTGCGACACTTCACAAAAACGTTGTCAAATACGCCGTTGATTTGTATTAAGCACGTGTGTTGCTCAACGGATGGCCACCTCCTATTTCTACAATAGATGGGTCGGAACAAACGCTGTCAAGGGCCGAAAGATGAATCTTAGCCCAACTTAGATTCGGCTGCTGCATCATGCTTAAAAGCTACAGAACCAAAATAGAAGGCGATGGCGTTTCGAAGTGTCCTTTCTGTTTATCACACTCGGATGATGTGCCTCATCTGGTTAAAGGTTTAAGGTTTCTCTCTCTCTTTTTGCGTTTGCTTCAGAGGTTTCAACGACAAACACACACAGCGTATATGAATACGCGTGCAAACCACGCATCATACACATTGCATATGATAGGCGTGGATCACGCCGCTTGTGTTTAGCTGCCCAAAAAACCAATCATCGCTCAACACAATAGTGTCGAAATCCGGTTGCAGAATGGCTCAGACCTTAAAATGAAGAGTGTCGACAGAGGGGCAACAACAACCATTGAAACTGTTGGAGCCAATGGATATTTGATTTATTGTATTTATAAACTTAATAATTTTTGTTAAATAAGCTGAATGTATGTTTGCATCATTGTTTTTACAATTTATTTTATATATAAACAGTTATTAAGAAATTTATTTAAATTGTAATTATTGACCTTAGCTACTCAAATATTTATAATAAAAAGTAATTTTTGGAAGCCCTACTATTGTTGCTTCAGCGAGGCCTAAAACCATAATTTAAACTTGTGTTTTCAACCTTTTTAGGTCTTGCTGTTCTTGTTGTTGTTGATGATGATGAGGTGCGCCTTTAGCTTGGTGATTTCAGAGGCGCTTCCATAGACTGCCTTAGGTATAGGTGTTTTTAGTATTAGGTGGTATTAGGTGTTTCTTAAACTCGCTTCTCGAAATTTTATCAAATCTTTTCAAATCCACCAGGAGAATTTTCCACAACTACAGACGCCACTAAAAATCTTTGTTTACCATAACGTGGCGAGTTTAATTTTTGCAGCAACAATTTTCCATCATTAGCTGACTTTAAATGATGTCGTTCAGGAAGATACTTGTACCAACTCATAACCAAGATACCCATGTGCTGCGCCATGAAACTATAACCAGCAGCATAGTTTCAGACTTTACTCTTCGTTTGATTGATATTAAATCATTGCACGCATAATTGATTTTTGTAGACTGAAAAAACTTTCGCTATTAAATTCTAATACATGAGATTCGTTTTCTCGTTCGCACTTGATTTTGCTATTTAAAACAAACATAATACGTTTGTTTTGACCGCTTAAAGGTTAAAGGTTACTCTCCCATGGAGTAAAGTACTTGCTTCAGAGATTTCAACAACAAACACACACAGCGTATATGTTTACTCATGAAAACCACCCATCATACACATTGCATATTATAGGTGGGGATCTCTTTGTATTCGAACCCAGTCACTGCAGCAGCAAGACCAGCTTCATTTTAGACTTTCTTTATTTTATCTTTTTCACCTTATTTGATGTTTCAAGAAAATAAATTTTGTTTCTATTATTTGTTGTTATTATTTTTATTATACTCGCAATCACCGCACCACACAATTGATTGCCTTGCATAGATAGCAAATGGAAACACACAGTCCATCGTTTGAGCTATCTTGCAAATGAAACAGATTATTGTTATTTAACATCATTTTACTTACAAAACGACCATTATGCATCATTTATATTGCCGCTAACAGTTTAATGAATGAAGTGGTTCACACTTCACCAACGATAGGCAGCAATGTAGAGGAAGTTTTATGGAAGAATATAAGATTTATAATGTGGGATATTGGAGGACAAGAATCACTGAGAGCATCTTGGAGCACTTACTACTCTAACACAGAAGTAAGCTTTGAATTTCAATATTTAAATAATTTTCATCTTTTTTTGTTTAGTTACTGCACCAGGTCTATAAAAAATATATTTTGTGTATGAGTTAACTGAAATTCATCGTTAGAAAAATTGAAAAAATAAATAGAAAATTAAGCAACGCTGAAAATGCTGTGAATTTCCTAAAAAAAATTTAGGAAATTTTGTATGTATAATTGTATGTATATATAATTGTATGTATATATAATTGTATGTATATATAATTGTATGTGTGTGTGTGTGTATATATATATATATATATATATATAGACTTCAACAAGACGTAATTTATATATATAAAGAATTTGCACGACTGACCTCACTCCGTTGTCAAGGTACAATAGTCAAAGCAATCAACAATGAGATTTCTGCGACTCGAATTGCTCACTGGTCACGTCACGTTATGAGCCTTCCAGAGGTTCTGTTCAGATTTGTCCGGAAAGGTTTAATTCAACAGCTGCCGACAAATGCCAACCTGTCCAGATGTGGAAAGTCCTTCACTGCCCAGTGCTCGTTATGCAAAAATACGCAAACCAATAAACATCTACTATCCAACTGCAGCTCAGCATCGGCATTGGGTAGATACACAACAAGACACAACAAAATTTTAGCAATAATCCTTGACAAGTTAAAATCATGTGCCAACCCAGACGTCTCCATTTTTGCTGATCTTAAGACAGACGATTTTCAACCACCATAACGCTTATTCAAGACATTGCGACCAGATATCGCATTGCTACGCGGTGAAACATTGGAAATCCTGGATTGACAGTCTGCCATGAGACTAACTTCTCCAACTCTAAAAACTACAAACAATCAAAATACTCTATTAGCTTGAAAAATAACTTAAACGACGACTTAAAACATTTAAAAATAACAATAAATACATTTGAAATATCTACTTTAGGTCTCTTTAATACATTAAATCTTTCGCTAATAAATATTATTTGGACTGATTATTTTTGTAATAACCTTATAAACTCTACCATATCATCGTCGTACGCTATCTATTGCGACAGAAATGTGAAATGAATCAATTTTATAACTAATTAACTCTGGTCGTACTCTCTCGATTCGAATGATGAGCTTCTCAGATTAATACTCTATTTATTGCATTTGACACTTTATTTTATTTCATTATTTTATTTTACTTGTACTGTAATTTTTATTTTTTTTTATTGCTGAATAAAAGATCGTTCTCATTATTAATATATGACTTTGAAGGAAAGGGCACAGAAGCCAAGAAAATGCTTATCGGTAAATTAAAAGGCTTGTTGTCAGTGATCGGCGAACTAGATACGTCAGCACAATGGAAGCTCCAAATTTTAAGACGATACATACCATCACAACTGGCTTTTGAGCTTAGGACATTCGATGTCTCGTTGACCTGGATTGGCAGCTGCCTTGACCCATTGGTGGTAGAGGCAGTGAGAATGTGGCTCTCATTGCCAATTAGTAGTTGCCTGTCAGAGAGCTTAACACTTCCCTTCAAACTGGGTGGATTAAATGTTAGATCTCTCAAACATTACGTTGAATCCTTGAGGATCAAACCTCGCAACTATTTAAAAGCCAATGGAAATGAGAAGCTAAAATGCCTGTGGAGCGAATCGTTCAACGACTTCATTAAAATCGACAATATGCTTCCTGACGCCAACGACATCAAACCGACGCTTAAAGCAATAAAAGAACAACAAACCGCAGCTTTGAATCATCTGACATCCCTTCAATGTCAAGGAACAATATTAAAATCAATTCAAGCACACATCCCAGTTGTTCGCATAGATCGTTGGTCGAGGTACGTAACATGTCTTCCGGAAGTTCTGTTTAAATTTGTCAGGAACGCCAACCTTGAAAAATGAGGAAAATCATTCACTGCACAATGTTCTCTATGCAGTGCTTGCCAAACAAACAAACACGTTTTATCGAATTGTGGCCCGGCGTCGGTCGGTGCTGAAGCGATTTACAATACGTCACAACAAAACTCTTTCAATAATATTAGACAGGTTGAAATCATGCACAGGCCCTGATGTCTCCATATATGCAGACGCGGATCAATATAAATATCAGCCACTATCTTGCCTCTTCAAGACGCTATGTCCCGACATCGCACTACTTTGCGATAGCAACATTGGAATCCTGGAGCTCACGGTTTGCCATGAAACAAACTTTCTGAAATCAGAGGACTATAAAATGGCGAAGTACTTCCATAATTTGCAAAATAATTTGACCGATAGTTATAAACACTCTAACATTACAATTAATACATTTGAAATATTCCCTTTAGGTTGTTTTAATACTTTTGATTTGTCTCTCATTAATTTAATATGGACTGGTGATTTTATCAACAACCTTATTTATGCAGCAATTTCGTCATCATATAGTATTAACTGTGATAGAAATGCAAATTAAATGAACCATTTAGGACTAACCTTTTCTCGTTGTACACATTTTTTTTATAAGTGACGAGCTTCGGAGATTATTTCAGGACATTTTACTATATACATATATACTTTAATTTTGATTATCATTGACAATTATTGTTTCTTTCATTTCATGTATGTTTTTACGATGAAAATAAAAAGATTATTATTATTATTATTATTGCAGTTGCCGTTGAACAAGAGAGTTGTATTCGCACAGCTCAGTTTTTATTGCAAGTTTTACTATTTTAATCTGGTCTTAAATAATTTCGCAAATTTTAAGAAATATGGCTACTTTTTTAATTTTAAATTAAAAAAGAACTTTTTTTTATGTAATTTAATATGTTTTTTAATAGTTTTAAATCAAATAAATTTAATTAACGCGACTAATTGTCCGCATTGCTATAAAGAGTTTTGTATCACTGAACAGACACTCCTGGCGTTGTACAAAAGTGACTAACATAGAAACTGTGAATGTAAACAACTCGCCAAATATTAATATTTTGTCTAATTTATTAAAAAATGTCAATAATCTTTCAAATAATTTAAATAATAATATATTGACCTGTTGGGGCAGAAAGGGTTTAACAATGCACCAAATAACTTGTAAAATGTGCAAATCTCTCAAAACCAAAGTCGACGTTGGTTTCGCGCTCGTGAAGACTGAGAGCTGGTGTCGGAATTGCATCACGCGTGTGGCAGTAAAAAAAAACTCTGCGGACCAGTGCAGGCTTACAATGTCGGCGCTTTTTTTGAAAGAATTGTTATAAACATTGCAGGACCGTACCCTGAATCAAAGTTTATCACTGGCAATTTTAGCAAATGGGCGGAGGTATCCGATATCCAACCAAGAAGCTAACACGGTTGCAGATGAAATCGTTACGAGCTGGATAAGTCGTTACCGCGTTTTTATGGAAATAAATTTGGATACTTTGAATCGTTACTTTTTTTGGATCAGTCTTGGGAATCAATAAAATAGCGGAGCGTTTCAATCAAACCATCGTAAAGCACTTGGGGTCTCGTGGCCGAGTGGTTAGCGTGTCCGTCTACCACTTCCACGACCCGGGTTCGAACTCTGCAGTTTCTACAGGTTCATCCGGGTAGTCGACCCCCGGTCAACCCAGCCGTCCATCCTTTCGAGGTTGGTAAATGGGTAGACGACGTAAGTTGTCGCATGTTGGTCGGCGAGATGGCTCAGTGGTTCAAATGCTCGCTGAGTCAAACATCTTAATGGCTATCATATACTCAGCGTATATGATGCGGTGCTTGCGCGTGCACATAAAATGTACGTCGTGTGAAAAGGATAAACTGCCTTTGTGGCGAAGATGGCTGCTTCAAATCAATAGATGAGGATTTGAAGAACATAATAAAAGATATATAGATAATATGTATCTGTAACATTGTAAGTGGTTCTGCGTATGTCAGAGCTGCAATAATAAAGACTAATAAAAAAAAAAAAAAAAAAACTTGGCTAAGGTTGTCGAAGAGAACCAGCATGACTGCGACCGGCAGATTCTCCTGTTCCTGGTGGCATTCGGAGTGCCACTCATACCACCACTGTGGAAAGTCCGTCTAAGATCTTTTTCGGAACTACACTAAGAAACCCAGCGGACGTAATATTCGGTGTTTCGCCGGAGACTTCCCAGCCAGTAAAGAAATACGTGATGAACTTTGCCAACGATTGGACAATGTCTACCGGAACGTGCGAATCGAAACAAGAGAAAGCACGGAAAAGATCGAAACTCGGTTCAACATCAAAGGTGGTAGCTCAGGGTTTAACGAAAATGATCTGGTCCGGCTCTACAGCCTAAGACACACGATGCACGAAAACTCTGAAGAAATTTTGAAGGTCCGAAACGAGTCATGAAGATTTATGGTCAAAACACTCCAATATCGAAACATCGACAGCGGCATGTTCTAATCTGAATGGCAGAAATTGTACATTTCCGATATAGTCGATTCAACACAGCTTACAAATGATTAAGACTCAAAGCATTGAAAGCTTTTGACTTATTCTCTCAATGAAATGTCGTCTAAACAAGCGAAAATGTATTATAATTGGATTTCAATGAATTTATTAGTTAATTGACAAAGAGTGGAAAGATCAGTGGACCCAAATTATTCCCTTGTCGAACACTCTCTGTTAAAAGAATTTTTGTACCACCGAAAGATAAAAAGAATGGCGGCATGTCCTAATCTGAATGCCAGAAATTGTAGATTTCTGATATGATCGATTCAACACAGCTTACAAATGATTATGACTCAAAGCATTGAAAGTTTGTGAAAAATCTTTTTTAGTTTAAGCAAACATTGTTGCCTTCGTTTAATCCAAAAATCGTCTCACCACATGCACTGCTGCGGCTGAAAAATGGGACCAATCTATCTTTGATGAATAAAGCGCATTTCGTTACAGCACCAGACGCCTCCAAACGCACTTAACAGTAATAGGCCTAACTCTGCCACATTTTTTAAACTGGGCCATCAGCCTTCTTTCTAAACACATTCAGGTGGGCAATCACCACTTAGGATAAAATTGATGGATGGGTGATTGTGTTGATGAAACCTTACAAATCTGTTTTTGAAGTTTGATGTCTTTCAAATGTTCGCAGGTCGTCCCTGCTAACTAATGTTCCTTTTTGAAAATGTCTCCAAACAAGTGAGTAACTGTTGTGATGTTACGCTCAAATTTAAACATTCTTTAAGAGAACTCTAAAGTCTGTTTGTGGTAGCTCTTGGGTTTTTAGCTTTCAAAGCGTTTATAGTCTTCTCAGCAATACTGTGTTAGTTTTTGGTAGGAGCTGCATAGCGTTTTCAATAATGTCTTTTTCGATCTTGGATTTAACAGATGATGAAGGTTTTGATTTTACTAATTTTTTCAAATTTTGTAACCTGCTTTTTCAGTTTTCGTAACGGCTCTAAAAGTCATGTTTTGTAACCGGCTCTTTTAACGTATTGATTCACTAAATCGTCGATTCACCAAATTCCGATTGGTTAGTCTAGCTGGATTGTGAAGCATGTGAAGACTTTTCTTCAAAATCCTTGTTGGCGAAAAGAGCATTTTGTACCCGGCAATTGGGTTACCAGGTTTATCGTTAATTACTTTCAAAAACATAGCCAAAGTTTGACCAAATTCTACGACTTTTCAACATTCTTCGAAGTCGGATAAAAAATATGTAAATTCATCTTGCTGCTATCGAAAAATTCCGATTTTGACGATGCAAAAATCTCCTACTCCGACCCTCTTCTATTTTCGATTCCGACACGCTGTTTGGAAACAACTATTGAATAGGTCAGAAAAAAATTGATTTTTTAGTATTTTGTTCTTTTTAAATATTTCTATAATTTTTCATGAAACTCTTTTGACTAAAAACAAAATGCATAATTGTTGAAGTTAGTAAAATATTGTTATCATTAATATTGTACAATATGTTCAAACCATGCATTAAATCTCTTTTCACAGTTTGTTATTTTAGTTATTGACAGTACCGATAGAGAGAGACTTTCTATAACAAAGGAGGAATTGTACAAAATGTTGGCGTTTGAGGTTAGAATTAAAAGCGTAAATAAAAAATTTCGATAAATAAAATATTTTATATTTTTTTCTTTTTGTTTCATTTATTTCTTTTTCATCTCTTTAGGTCTTTTATGCTATTCATGACGTTTTATCACATGGACGATGTTGAGTATATATATATATCAAATGTCAAAATCATGTCGTGTTTCTATATTTTTTTCGAAATGATTCAACAGTATTTGCCCTTGAAATAAATTAATAAAAAAATCATCCAACATTTCACAAGCATTTTATTTAGATGAAAATATTTCGAAAAGTCAAGGCTTTAACATTGTAATAGTCGTCCTAATTTGCCTTTGACTTGCCATTAGCGATGATTATACAAAGCGAAAATCGCGACTTGCCTCAAGCACCATTAAAGCTTTAGAGTTCGTTCTAGGCTCCTGATTTAAAAACAAAACTTGGCATTAGCAGAATTTTAAAAGGCAAATTATTTTTAAATATTTATGCATACCTAAAATTGACTAGGTTAATTTCATGTGGCCGAATAAAATTCTGATTAGAAAGCTGGTTTGCTGGTTAATTATTTGGTTGGTCATTTGATTTACTAGCTTGTTGGTTTGTCGGTTAGCTGGCTGGTCGGTTGGTTGATTACCAGTTTATCAGTTTCAAGTTATTGGATATTTATGGCAACAGCGTATAATTGTTTTTAAACATTTACAATTAAATATCTATGTTGATTAATTTTAGCCCTTTCTGCTGAAGTGAATCATTCAGTTTGTCCAGGTGAGGACAGTAGACTTCCCAATAAATTGTTGTGTTATCCGGTAAAAGCTCTAAAAGTGACTCCTTTAAAATCCAACCAAATCGAAATTTTGTAAATCAGTTCTGGCACTGGTGTATTGCCAACACATCTTCTCCATACACATCGGTTAATTTATTTCTGGCTTGAATAACATTTTTACCTTTTACATAGTAAAAAAGTAAAATATGACGAAAATGCTGCTTATTGCTCACCATATTTCAAAGGACACCGACCAAAAACTACTGCCTAAAATCAATTGAACTTAATCACACACAAGACTTGATATATCAGCTGTCAAAACATATAATGAAAATGCGACTTAAGTGTGAAGTTAGCTGTGAGAAAATACAATTAAATCCTCTGTCGGGAAAAAACGAAATTACTTTCCGAACAATATAATACATAAGATTATCATTGAAAAATTATAAAACACTATGATAATTCTTTGCTGAGAAATGAATGATTCTTCGCTAAGAATGATATGGGGATTGTCTGATTGCTAAAATATTTTAAAATATTTGGTAGTTCAGTGACGGCAGGTCCTGTCCAGAAACTGTTGAATCAACGTAATTATAGAAAAAAAGGATGCAAGAACTGCCACTGACAAGAATTATGATGTTATCACTGAAGTTGTCAATGTTGAATTGTTGATAGTTATGAAAACTATGTCAAAGAAGTCGCTTGTTGCACGCTTTTATACCCAAAAAAAATTTTATTTGAATTTTTTTAACCATATCAACCCATATAAATATTTGCTCCTTAATCGGTTCTGATGTTAGGGTAAGATAGCAACATGGAGTAAGTATATAAAATATTGCTGTCTATATTGATGTCACTGTTTTTGCTGCATCCTCTACATTTGCAAGTGATTGATGGCATTACATCACCTGAGTAGATCAGAAATAACACGACAAATCATGAAACAATTAATTATTTGCCATCCCGCTGTCAGTAATTTTTAAATATAATAAGGATGACAAACAAATTTGTGAAGCGTTACATTTTTTTAAACTGTGGGACACAAAAAATCTATAAAGTTGTTAGAGAAAAATTTGTGAAAGAAAAAAATATTTTGTAGATCTATTCAAGACACAACTGGATTATGAAGTACATCAAATAAAGGAAGAAATGAATGAGGTGCACAAAAAAGTTATTCATAATCAAGAATGATGATGAAGAAAAGGCAATATTGCCGTGCATAATTTAGATGAAAAGTATTAATGCGGAAGTACATCTAGAAGAACTCCTGAAGTAGATTAAGAACTTAGATCTCACAGATGTAAAAACGTTCTTTAGATTAGGTAAAAAACTGAAAATAAAAGCAAACCACGTTTGATTGATATGAAAAATAGGAATGCCGTGAATATAATAATGAAGAATCTTAAAAACTTGAGAGGAACGATGGAGGAATATAAGAGAATTCCATTTTCTCAGGACTTAACTATTAAAAACAGAAGAATCTGCAAAAATTTTGAAGGTATAAGAATACTAACAGAAACCAATACTAAAAATATATCTATTTAGAATAACAGTAATTCCAAATGATCCTCAACCCACCAAGATATTTTGATAATAAGACTTCATTCCAGCATAACATTGAAAACATCGAAAAAGTAGAGGATTTTAAATATTTGGGTTCTCACGTAGGAACAACAGAAAAGGACCTGAATACAGAATCGCGCTAACATGGGTAGCCTTCGACAAACTAAGAACTATATCGTAAGCACCAAAACTTGACAAAGAGTATACGGCTTTGAATCATGGGCTGGACACTTGATTAAAAACTAAAGACTAAAGTGGAAGTTTTCGTTCGAAAAATCTGTAGACTTATGTTTGGTATCCAGCAATCGGAAGTACACAAAACGAACAGAGATCACTACGCGTTTACAGGACAGCAAAAAACATCAAAAGAGAAATCGACTACTCTAATTTATCTGTCAAATCCTCTGAATGCTGAAAAATAAGCACGCAAACAATATTCGCTCTACAGATTTGAATTCAAAACATCAAACCGCATAGGCGTTTCTTTTAAACAGAAATACAGAAAATCTACATTCTTATAAACATCTTAGAAATAAAATAAAAAAAGATATTAGACAATTTAAGATAGAAAAATATTTAAATATTGCCAAAAACATCTATTCAAACCCTAAAGGTTTTTGGAAATTCATTAATGAACAATTAAAAAATAAAAAAAATGCTTAACAAGCGTAGACAATGGAAATGATAGAAACGTGGATGATAACAAACAGGTACATATTACTAATGATCTGAACAAAGCAAATGAGTTAGCTAAATTCTTCAGAAGAGACTTCAATGTGGACATGTATATACGTCTAGAAAAGGAAAAAAATAGAAGAAATGATAATAAGATGACTAATAATCAGCAAAAAAATAGGAAAACTTAACAAATTGAAATTCACTGGTCCAGATGATATTTACTTTAGATTATTCATATAATGCAAAATAACTGAATATATGTTTTATATCCTCAATAAATCTTTGAATCAATGTATGCTTCCTAAAATTTGGAGAGAATGTGTAGTAACAGCTATTCATAAGCAAGAAGATAAACATAGTCTTAAATGTTACATAACAATATCATTAACATGTATAAGTTGTAAACTGTTAAAAGGAATTATTAAAGATAAATTAATTAACCATTTTAATAATAACAATCTATTTCATGTGAATCAATATAGGTTTTAAAAATGGAAATTTGGCTCAGTACAATTGTTAAAGTTAATGGATGATTGGGCAAATACAAAGGATAATGGAAAACAAATTGATGCGGTTTACACAGACTTTCAAAAAGCATTCGACAAAGTATCCCATGCAAAGTTAATATACATGTTAAAAAGGTACTGTGTTACTGGAAATTTATTACTCTGGATAAAGGAATATTTAAATGGTAGAACATATAGAGTAACAAGTCAGAAGAGCATAATGTTCTGGGTGGAGTAGCACATGGAAGTGTTAGGTTCTGTTCTATTTATTGTATATATTAATATTTTTAACGATATTTTCTCAATTTGTAATGGTCTTGATGTTACAATAATGCTTTATGCATATGATGCAAAACTATGCAAAAATTAGAGTCCATAGAAGACAGAGCTATATTACAAACCTGCTAAGATAAATTGTTTGTTTGGCCCAAAAAATGAAACTTAAACATAAATTTTGACAAATGATTTTTATATAAAATTGACAACTTATATATCATTAATGTTAGTACAGTTAATGATAGATCTAGGAGTTACACTCGACAACAATCTTGATTTCAACATTCACGTAGACATTAAAATTAAAATACAGTACAAAATGATAAACAACATAATTTCAAATTTTTATGCATTTCTAATGTCGATACATTTAAATGTTTATACAAAGCACTTGTTAGATCACATTTAAAATATGAAGTTCAAGTATGGTGTCTCTGGAAATAGAAAAACATTGAAAAACTAAAAATATTGCATTCAGATCCGCAAAAGGGTAAATTACAGAGATGGATTGAAACTTTTAAAATTACCTACATTACAGTACAGAAAGATAAGAGGAGATATGATTACGGTATACAGCTTGTCAAATATTTGTAAAAAAGATTATGGACCCAAATTATCAAGAAAATAGAGAATCGAGTCATAGGACATGGAAAAAGATGAATGGGGAGTAGATGTAAAAGAAACACTAAAAAATACGGGTTCTGTAATTGAATAGTTTAGGTATGGAACAATTTAACGGAAGAAATGGTAAACAGTCCAACTACAAATGACTTCAAAAATAAGCTAGATAAATTTTTTTTGCAGATATGAATATTTAACATGAAAACTGTTTGGGAACAACTGTGTGAATGAAGACGAACAAGCGGTTAATGAAAAAATTAATAATTGACGGATGACACGATGGCTGAGTGTTGAATAAACGATTTAATGACATTTTTACTAAATGAATTTTATCTGATTCTAATAATCACTAGCAATATTTTAATTTAAGATATAAGCTTAGTATATACGACTGCTGTGTCTACGTATGCATATATGTGTGGTCATCTGTGAATGTATATGCACGTGTGTATAGTGTAGGTAGGTATAAGTAATATGTTTGTTTTTTTCTTGATTAGTGTATAAGAATGTGTAAATATGTAGATGTCATATATGTATTTGGCTTACTAACCTCATAAAGGACTAATTGGTAACTTATTATTTAAAATTAGGTATAAGACTTACAGCCTGTGCTTGCTGTCAATTATTATTTATTTTAATAACAAATGGGACGTTTAACGTACGCAAAAATTTATCATCTCCGGTAAAAAATTTAATCAATCAACCTTCGTTTATAGTTTCCATCCGTTATGGGTCGGGCTTTTTTTATTCCATTCATCAGTTTCTCTCTCCAAACTGATCTATCCATTGCGCCTGTCTTCACGAGACTAGGTCCTCTGCGTCCGGCACTTTTTTGGGCGACCTCTTGGACGGGTGCCGGGCACCTGGTGCTCAGTAACGGAAATTATTGTATCGTTTTTGCTTCGCTTCACATGGCCAAATCATCGTAGGCGATGACGACGACATGCATCCTTCAACGTGCACAGTACCGATCGGTTCAGGATCTAGGTTGTATGGATATGGTTCCTTAGGTCAAAATACTGCATCCAACGGATCATCTTTATGTCAGTTTGGTGAAGCTGCTGTTCGAGTTTTGTTGTCATCGGCCACGTCTCTGCACCATACATCAGAACAGAGCGTATAGCTGTGTTGTATAGCTCTGAGCGCAGCAGTAGAGAAATGCTACGCCGCATCAGTACCGAGGCAAGAAGGTGCCATCTACCCCACGCCGCACGTATCCGTCCACGAACGGCAGCATCAGCTGTTCCAGTACAATCCAGCATATCTCCCAAATACTGGAATGAAGTAACAGTTCCGATCCCGGTGATCGTATAATTATCTGGGCCCCGTTGTCGTGGGTTGATGCAGGCGGGCATACGAAATCAGTTACTTTCCTCAGTGAGTCGGTAATTATCGAGCATCGTTTGTGACACCACTGCTGACATCGCAGACATTTGATCGAGTTGCTTCCAACTCCAGCCCCACACACCGAACATGGCCAATGACCAGAGACCACAGGCTCAGCGGTACCCCCGGTGATCATAGTTTTTGTTTTGTCTAGGTTTACCTTTAGCTCGTGTTCGGCGAGCTGGGTATTCCAGACCTCAAACTTTCTGGCTGCGTCTTGTTTCGAGGCCGCCGTCAGGACGATATCATCTGCATATATCACATTCTATATGTTATCTGAGCGTATCGTGTGTTATTTCCATATGTTATCTGGTTATCATCTGCATATATCACATTCCATATGTTTGTTAGTACGAACTTATGCTACTAACAAGACACCTTGTTGTGAGTTAAAATAAATAAAACAAACACAATTCAGGTGTAATAAAATATTATCTTTATTCCCACGTGAATCACGAACCGTTTCGTTTACAAGCTCTCAGGAAAAAAATGGGAAGAAGTCGAGAGTGAAACAAAGACATAAACATTAACATAGATTAGGTAACATTGAAAATTGCATTAATCTTTAATAATAATTAATACATAAGATAGTTAATAAATGAATGTTTGATCCCTACAATACTTCCCCACAAAAGGCGGAGCCATTTAAAAATAAAAATATTCATTTCGTTTGTTGAATGTTATTCGCCTCCCTTTTCTGGAGTGTTGGGTTGTTGGTTCCGATGTGGTTGACGTTGGTCTTGTTTCTTGTGTTGTTGTTGCTGTTTCTGGTGTTTCAGTAGATTTTGTGTCTGATGTTGCTGGTTTTGTTGAATCTGTTGTAGAAAGTTTGTTGTTCGTTGTCGAACTATTCTTGTTGTTTATTCTGGTTTTGGCTGTTAGAGGTAATGATAAACAAGCTGGCTTTAATCGATCAATTGACACATTTTGAAAATTTCCTGGTAACAATTCAATTTTAAAGTATTTGTCCTTACGTTCAATCACTTTGCAAAGGCCTGTATATGGTGCTTCCAGTGGACAACGTACTCGATCTACTCTTAACCATACGTGACTACTGTTTGAAAGGTCATTTAGTACGAAAGCTTTTGGGGTAGAGTGATGTTGATTGTTAGTTGTTACGTAGTCATGTAGTTTAAACATTTCTTTTGCTAGTTGTTTGATTTGACTAGATGTTATATCTTTATTTGAATCTGGGAATAAAAATCGACTTGGTAATAACAAGTTGGTTCCTGTACTGCTATTGCTGGAAATATTTCATTTTCACAATATTCCCTCGCAAGAGGCGGCGCCATTCAAATGGAAAAATGTTTGTTTTTTGAGTTGAATTTGATTTTTTTACTCTTCTTTGAAGATGTGGTTGTTGGTACTGATATCGCTGGCGTTTAACTTGTTTCTCGTAATGATGTTGCTTTTGCCGTTGATAATTTGGTTGACATTTATCTTGTTTCATGAGATGTTGATGATGGCGTTGTTGCTGAAAACGCGGTTGCCGTTTTGGTTGCTGGTTCAAATTTTGTTCTGGCCTCTCATGCAACCTTTTGTCCAGCTGCAAACAATTTCTAGAATGAGATGTGTGTGAGGACGATGAACTATGCTCTGCTTTTCTCTTTCTGTGATGATCTTGCTGCTGCTGCTGTTGAACAGGAGAAGGAAGAGAGAGAATTGGAAGGAGAGAATCGTTCATGTGTGAATTTGCTGATGGGATGGTAACATTCTGCTCAGCATTTTGCTGTTGTGATTGTTGGATGTCATTTTCATCTTTGTTCTTGCTCAGGACAACTTTTATTTTATTGGACTCTTCTGGTGGCTGCCTCTCTTCAATTTTGTTTACATTCATCAGATTCAAGTTTATTTTAAAAGATTCTTTTTCTTGGAATTGCTCTGGTTTTGTTTGTTTGAACGTTGATTATAACTCTGCTTTTAGAGCGTCGTAATCTGTTCCTCTTTGCACTTTTAACGACAAATTTGAGACTATATCCAACGGCAGGGAAATTATTACGTGATAGAATCTTGTTGTTTTACACATCACGTTTCGCAATTGAAATTGCATTTCGGAATTCTCGAACCAATCTATTGACGCTGTTTTCTTGAAAAGAGGTAATATGGCAATCGGATCATCATTTGGTTGGAACATTGTTTTCGTTTTGATCTTACCACGTGGATTTTCGTATTTCTTTTTACGTCGGATTTTCGTTCAAATCACGTCGGGTTTTCGTTCAAATCACGTTGGATTTTCGTTCAGATCACGTCGGGGTCACCAATTTGTTAGTACGAACACCTTGTTGTGAGTTAAAATAAATAAAACAAACACAATTCAGGCGTAATAAAATATTATCTTTATTCCCACGTGAATCTCGAACCGTTTCGTTTACAAGCTCTCAGAAAAAAAAAGGGGAAGAAGTCGAGAGAGAAACAAAGACGTAAACATTAACATAGATTAGTTAACATTGAAAATTGCAATAATCTTTAATAATAATTAATACATAAGATAGTTAATAAATGAGTGTTTGATCCCTACATGTTGTCTGAGCGTATCGGTTTGGTTATTACTTCCATCACCGTGATGAAGAGCTCCGATAAACAATTTAAATTAAAAGAACTTATTCGTTCTACGTGTTTTTTCTATCCAGTTAGCTTGAATTTTTTGTTGAAACCACTATTTTGCTTTCTATTATTGTTGTAAAACCTTTGTTATCGTCCTATTTGTTTTATTTCAAAATCAATCTCATTTTTCAAATTTACTTGTAAAGCCTCAGAGGAATACGTTTCCTGTTTTTTTAAGGCTCACCTATCCCATTGAAGTTTTATTTTACCACGTTATTTATAAATTTACACAGTGGGTCAAGATTTGTGGTATTGTGGCTAACGAATTTTTTTTCTGCATCTTATTTTTGGCCGATTTTGGACATAAAAAGATGCTTTTTCTGATGAAACAATGAGTTTTACTCACTTTCATTACACTTTTATTTAGGCTCTTCTATTAATTAGTCAGCCACTTCTATTAATCTCATATCATCTATTACCTAGTGACCTGTGTATGCTTTTATGAGCTCTCAAAACTTAGAAAATTCTCTTAATTTTTCAATTATTACACTTTTTGAAACGTATAATTGCATTTTTAGGGATTTTTCCTCAACTCATTGCCTGTTTAGCTAGACTTGAGATTAGCTCAGGAAAGATGTTTCTTTAGATTGTTACTTTTATTGGAAAGAACTGAACATGTTTCAAAATATCCTTATAACTTTTAAATCTCTTCAACCAGGACTTGAAAAAATCATTCCTTCTGGTGTATGCTAACAAACAAGATTTAAAAGGCGCAATGACTGCTGCAGAAATATCATACCAGCTTAATTTAACATCAATTAAGGAGCAAGGATGGCATATACAAGGATGTTGTGCCCTTACCGGGGAAGGGTGGGTGGAAGTGTTTTTTTTATGATTTTTATGATAATTTTTCATTAAGTTTTATTTCAAATGACAGTTTTAAAAATTTGATTTTCAATATTATTTTATTTTAAAATGTCAACAATTTATCTAATAATTTTTCAAGCTAATTCTCAATCTTTAGTCTTTCTCGTATCACCAATATTAAATTTTTATTTGAATTTTGAATCACTATTAATCACTGTTTATACGGTGTGCAGAGGTTCAACAATTAGTTTGCTTTGTGGAAAAAAAATTGAAACGTAAATGTGTGATGTCGCGCCCGGTGAAAGTGGAGTATTTGTGGTTACTAACAAAATTCTTGTTTTTAAGTCTGTTATTAACTCTACACCTGCGCTTTGATTGACGGCATATATATATATATATTAAGCGCATTATAAATTGAAATTTCTCAAAAGCGCTCTCTATTATAAATGAAATCAGTGAAGGTCAATAAAGTACAAATCAATAAAGTATTTCTATGTCAAAATAAATATGTTTTTAAGTTCCTCTTAAAATCATCAAGCTTTAGTCCAGGCATTCTGAGCGATTGCGGAAGACTGTTCCAGGCAATTGGTCCTGACACGGCAATATTTCTAGTTGCAGTTTGTAGTTTAGTAGTTGTCACTGCCAGTAGGTTGGCATAGTCTGATCTCAATTTTACACCTGTTGAAGAAGCTGGTTTTTTTAAAGATTTTATTAGATATACTAGTAACAACCCGTTCAAAGCCTTATACAAAGTCACACAAATCTTATAGTTGATTCTTTTTTTCACTGTTAGCCAATGTAGGTCTCTTAAAATGGGTGTCACATGGTCATACTTTCTACGTTCAACAGTTATTTTTGCAGCTCTATTCTGTATCGATTGAAGAAAAGCAATAGATCTATCTGGTAATCCATTGAACAAGCTATTACAGTAGTTTAACCGTGAATAAACGAACGCATGAATTAGTGTTTGCACGGTTGTTTGATGTAAATATTTTTGAACGCGTTATAACTGGCAAAGCTGATAAGAACATGATTTAGATATGGTTTTTATATGATCTTTGAAAGATAATCTCGAGTCAAAAATACACCCTAGGTTTGTTGCATTTTCACAGAATTGTATTTCATTATTATCAATTTTGACTGAATTAATATTAATTTTAGAAAGCTGTTGCCATGTACCGACAGGTAAAAATTGAGTTTTATCTTGATTCAATTTGAGACAATTTCTTGACATCCATGTACCTATTTTAGTCAAGCATTCAATGAGATTTTCAACTTTACTTTCAAACAGTTCTGGTTCACTGCTAACTATGTCATCAGCGTACGTATGATATGAAAATCCAAAGGATTCTATTACTTCATATACTTCAGCAGTGAACAGTACAAACAGAATAGGTTCCAGGACTGAGCCTTGTGGTACACCAGATGACATTGCTTCAATACCAGATAATTTGTTCCCGAAAAAAACCTGCTGAGTTCTGCCAAACAAGTATGAATTGAACCAATTAGCTACAACTCCAGTAACTCCGTAATCATATCGTAGGCGATTCATCAGTATTTGATGGTCTACGCATTCGAAGACAGCACTCATGTCCAAGAATGTAAGCAACGAAACATATTGTTTATCAATTGCATTAAACAACTCAGATATAACATACAACAGTGCTGTTTCAGTTGAGTGATAACGTTTATATCCAGATTGAAATACTGGTATTAAGCTATTTTTGTGTAGATGAATCAGTAGCTGACTGGCAACAACTCGTTCAATAACTTTAGAAACGAAGCAAATGTTTGATATGGGTCTGTAACTTTTCATTTCATTCCTATCATCTTTCGTTTTCTTCAAGACAGGTGTAATAACTGCGTGCTTACATTTATTCGGAAATACTCCCTCTTGCAAACATAAGTTAACGAGGCTTGCGAGAAAAACAATAAAAGTATCTATATGTTTTTTATGCACATGAGTTGGAAAAACATCTAACATACAGGTTTTAGCCGATAGATCAAGCACAATTTTCTTTATGTCTAGTTCCTCAACGCAGCAAAATTTGTGAGCAGACAATTTTCGGTACATCTGTCAAAAGTAGGTTTTTCGTTAATACTGATAGTATGTTTGATCCGATCGGTCTTTTCTTGGAGAAACACATAAATTGAGGAGCCGTGATGTCAACATTATCATAAAGTAAGCTATGGTTACCTTTACAAAGAATTTTGTTTACTACGTTCCATAGACCCTTTTTATCACCATTACTATCAGCAATCAACGTTTTCCAGTAATCATTTTTTTTTATTGAAAATAGTTTGGTTTTATTTTTCAAAGAAGCAATCCATTCATTCCATTCTGATGAGATGACAAACAACATCTGTATTTCCTTTCTTTACTTTACAATTATTTATAAAGATCACTGCGTTTTTTTGACAAAAAAAAAAAACAAAAACGTATTGGAGCAACACGAACATTTAAAAAACTAAATAATTTTAAAAGAAATTTTCCATCAACAAAAGAAGCAAACAGTTGTCAACAAGAATGGACCAACAAAAATTATAGCCAGAAACTTGAGAACAACATTAACATCTACCTCAATAACGCTTCGAACAACCAAGAAAGTATTGGAGCAACACGAATATTTAAAAAACTAAATCTTAAAAGAAATTTTCCATCAACAAAAGAAGTAATAACGTTATTAATAATGTTTTGTCAAATATTAAAAGTTTTTTATTTAACCTTAATAAACTTCATCAAGACGATGAAAGTCTCGTTAAAAACTGAGAAACTCAACTACGTAGTGATCTTTATAAATAATTGTATTTATGATAGTATAAACTCTATATATATATATATATATATATATATATATATATATTATTATCAAACACCTATAAAGCGCCTATTAAAATAAATATCTCTCACAAGCGCTATCGAAAAAAGAAAAATAATAAACGAACAGTGAAATAATGTGCATCCTATCAATAGACGATATGATACAATCAATTACAATCGTTCATCGCAAATAGATAAGTTTTCAAATTCTTTTTGAAATCAACAATGTTCATCTTTGACATTCTCATCGACATTGGCAGACTATTCCAGACGATTGGTCCCGACACTGCAATGTCTCTAGACGATGTCTGCAGCTGCGTAGTTGGTACAATCAACAAATTGACGTCATCTAATCGCATGCGTCTGCCAGTCGAAGACAGCGGCTTCTTTATGAATCTATCAGCCAGGTATTCTGGGAGTTGTCCGTTTATGGCCTTGTACATAATGACGCATATTTTGTAAAAAATTCGTTTCTTCACTGTTAGCCAATGGAGGCTATTCAGAATTGGCGTCACATGATCGTATTTTCTGCCTCTAACAATCACCTTTGCAGCTCTGTTCCTAATAGACTGGAGGTCAGCGATAGACTTTTCTGCATAAAACAGACTGTTGCAATAATCCAATCTCGAGAGGACAAACGCATGAACCAATGATTGTGTTACAGTTTGATCCAGATATTTTCTTATTCGGTATATTTGTTGAAGTTGTGCTGAACATGATTTAGATTGCGATTTTATGTGGTCACAAAGTTTTAATTTAGTGTCAAAAATACATCCCAAATTGGTAGCCTTCTTGCAAAATTTTATCTCATTATCTTCAATCATTATTGAATCAATTTTTACTTTTGATTGCTGCTGCCAGGTGCCCACTTGTAAAAACTGTGATTTATTTTGATTAAGTTTTAGACAATTTTTTGACATCCATGTGTCAACTTCAGCCAAACATTTTATTAGTCTTTCAACTGCACTTTTGAACTGATCTGATTCACTGCTAACTATTATTTGAATGTCGTCGGCATATGCATGATAAGAAAAACCAAAAGTATCAATTACATTAAATACATCAGCTGTATACAGTATGAACAAAATAGGTCCAAGTATTGAACCTTGTGGCACTCCGGATGACTTTGTTTTTACACTAGACAGATGCCTTTTGAAAAATACCTGTTGAGTCCTTCCAGTCAAATAGGAGTCGAACCACTTGATAACAGTTCCAGCAATGCCAAAATCGTGAATTAATCTGTTCAATAGAATTTGATGATCGACACAGTCAAACGCTGCACTCATGTCCAAAAATGCGAGTAGAGCAATATTCTGTTTGTCGATGGAGGCAAATAATTCGGACAAGACATATAACAATGCCGTTTCTGTAGAATGGTAACGTTTATATCCAGATTGATGAATCGGGAACACATTATGTTTATTTAAATGATTTACAAGTTCACCTACTACGACACGTTCTATGATTTTGGAGATGAAACAAATGTTAGATATTGGTCTGTAGTTTCCGAGCTCATTAAAATCTGCGTTTGTTTTTTTCAAGATGGGTATCACAACCGCATGCTTGCAAGAAACAGGAAGTGCTCCAGCACACAAACATAAATTAACTAAACTTGTGAGAAACGAGATGAAGAGGTCTATATGTTTTTTCAAAATGTGAGTAGGAAGGACGTCTAACATGCAAGATTTAGATGGCAGATTAAGAACAATTTTTTTTACATCTTCTTCTGAAACCACTGCAAAATTTGAAAACAAAGAGCCACTGTTTAATTTACATCCATCAAAAACTGGTTTGTCAACTACTTTGGTGTCTCGTTTTATGTTGTTGATTTTTTCTTCAAAATGATCAATAATTGAGAACAAGTGATGTCTACATGTTCCTGAGACGATTCATTATCATAATTCTTGCAAATGATTTTATTAATTACTTTCCACAAATTTTTAGGGTTTCCGTCGTTTTCTTTTACCAGTGTTTTCCAATAACAATATCTTTTTTTTAGAGAAACATTTAGTTTTATTTCGCAAAGCAGCAATCCACTCACTCCGACAGGCAGATGATAAATATTTTCTATATTTCCTTTCTTTCTGTCGACAATGTTTTTTAACTGCTCTGCATTCATCATCAAACCAAGGAGTTATCAAATCGCATCTGTGTTCTATAAAGGGAAGAGGCGCAACTTTATCAACAATTTTCTTCATCTCATCATTGAAAAGTTCAAATTCAAAATTTACGTCGTGACTCTGACATGGCTTTGATAACGGAGAATTTGCAACATACGAAAAAAACAGATTTTCATCAAGTTTACTCCACGATCTAGCTAATCTGCGAACTTTTTTAAGACATATTCTTTTAATTGGTTTGCTAAGATATATCAAACTGTGGTCGGAGTACACACCACTAGGAAATATATTACTAATAGAAACATGAAAATTTTCAGAACAAACAACCAGGTCGAGTGTTCCACCTCGTTCGTGAGTTCGCTCACTGATCACGTTGGTTAAATTAAACGTTTCAAATAGATCAAGTAGTCTGTTTGCGTGATGATCATTGCATCTTTCAATGTGAAAATGTTAAAATCACCAACCAACAATATGCTCGAACTTAGGAGTGTTATGTTATCTAAAACTTTTGACAATTCTTCGATAAATAATGCATTCACTTGAACTGAACCAGGTGTGTATAGAGATAACAAAACAAAATCTTTACTGTTTATAACAAATTTGAGAGCGACAACTTCGAACGTGTCAAAAGGAGGCAGATTAATCTTTTTATATTTGAAGTTTGATTTAAAGAATACTATTATTCCCCCATGATGCGGATCATTCAACCTCAAGAAATCAACATATCTAAACCCAGGTGGCATCGATGACTTTACTGATACATTTTCTGTGGAACCATGCCACGTTTCTACCAAAACAAGAATGTCTAAGCCGTCTTGAATCATTTCGTAAACTTTATCCGAATTTGAATTAATTGATCTAATGTTTAACATTCCCAGCAATACATTACAATCACTCATCACATCATTTCTAGACATCACCTCTTCCGTGCTTATGCTACTGGTGTGTTTTGTTTCGTTTTCATTGGAAACGACACTATTTTCCATCTTCCAACCGGTCCTCTGACCCGGAATAAAAAACCTCGTTTATCATCAGATTCCAATTTCTTAGCTTTTTCAACCAGCATCTTGTATTCCTGTCTTTGTTCTTTTGTTAAGTCATCGCTTAGTCCAATGCCTGCATATTCTTCAGCCAGTGATTTTATTTTATACACGTTTTTCATTATTAAACTTTTGATCCCAATATTTTCAAGTTTTACCAACAAAGGTCTGATTTTATTTTCATCCTTCTTACCAAGCCGTGTTATCTTAAGAATATTTTTTTCCGTTACATCATCTGTTAAGTGTTTAAATATTGTCTCAACATTAGCACGATCGCCCTCTTTTAAGCGAAATATAATCAAGTTTGTTTTTTTTCCTTTGTTTCATTCACTTCAGCAAGAGTTTTCTGTACTATCTTGACCTCATTGTTGATGCTGTCTACATTTCTCTTTACAATGCTTGCAAATGTAACAGTCATTTCTTTCTTCATACTATCGATTTCACTGCGAAGACCGTCGTCAGAGCGGTTAACCTGACTAAACTTGTTTTCATTTGAGTTTATTATTGATTTTATGTTTTCAATTTCTGATTTAACCATCATGTTCATTTCGTCCAGTTTATTTATTTTCTACAACATTTCGTCTTTATTTACATCCAATTTTGCTAACATTTCATATCTACTGGTATTAATTGATTTTAACAACGAATTCATATCAAATAGCTGATCTAAACAACTTTCACAAAACCATTTCAGGCCGCTGCAAATCTTTAAAAAATCTTTAATATTTTCAGAAAACTTTGTGCTGTCATTGATGCATTTGACATGTGTGATACATTCACAACGACTGCAATGTATAGCCTCTTTAGCAGGAACAACTTGCGTACATTTAACACATTTACGTAGAGACATAGTTGAAGAAGGCTTTATAACCTGATAGCACAAACACGTGTCTCAAGCAAAATTCAACTTATTCAACTTATTACGATTAACTAAATAACGAAAAAGCGAACTATTTAAAACTAGATAACTTTGAAATTAATTACTATGATTAATTCAACAGAAAAGATTAGCTTTGATTAACAGAAAATCCTTCAAAATCGATTAAAATCAAAATATTAAGCATAAGTGAATAAACGTGCTATATATATATATATATGTTGGTAATAGACCATAATTTTTACCGAATGTTTGGCGTTAATATGTTTGTAGTTCGTTTTTTCGATTTTTCTCACTAAAGTTTTTTGGTGAACGTTTAGTTTATTAAAATTCAAAATAAACTTATTTTTCGAATTCATGCTGCAAATAAGGCCATATTTCGATTCCGAATGAATCATCATCAGTGCTCCTTGCTGTATATATAGGGAAATATTGACTTTGTCAAGATGAACTTTTACGTTGTAAAAAATTAGCTTTGGTGTTGTAAAATTGAACTTTGATGCGAATTAGTTGTCAGGTTTCTTTATTGGCTGGTCATCTTCTTTGGTCTCCTTTTCTTCATCGATAGCATCATATTCTTCTTTGTCACTATTGTTTATTTTTGGTTTATTGATGTCAATTAGCCGTGAAATCCTCGACAGCAACACCAAAGTAATTTACTAGAACAGCAACTATACGCATCTTAAAATTGCAGAAGCAGACCTAATTTACATCAATAAACCAAAAATAAATATACAACAAAAAATGACAACCTCACTTCCAACCCGGCGCTTAACCAACAACGAAAACAAAGAAGTAATAAAAACTATCATTGTAAATAGTGACAAATTGCTCTATTACTTTCTAAGCTCTGCAATCTTTTTCTAGAAAACAACATTTTTTCAATTTCTTTAAAGATAGCTCAAATTCTACTTTTACTGAAAATATCTAACCTTGATCCATCTGACCCTTCTAATTACTGTCCCATTTCCAACCTTTCAACTTTTTCTAAATTACTTGAACAGCTTATCAAGTGTTCCCCCTCATCACACGTTCTCTTGGCTGATTCTTCTCTCTCCTCAACCTCTAAACTTAAATTTTTAGGCTTAACTTTTGACTTTTCTCTATCTTTTAATTCTTATGTCTTAGCTTTGATCAAATCTTGTAACTATTATACGTTGACTATTCGTCATATTCGTAATTTTCTCACTGAAGATATTGCTTCTTCTTTGGCTTGATGTTTCGTACTATCAAGTTTAGATTATTTTAATTTTCTTCTCTACGGTCTTCCTTCATACCTTTTAACTTTATTTCAAAGAGCTCAAAATAGAGTTGCAAAAGTTGTTTTAAATATCAGTAATTTATCTTCCAGCACAGATTCACTCATTCAACTACATTGGTTACCAGTACGTCAGCTCATTATATTTAAACTCGCCTTCTTCACATACAAGTTACTTAATACATCTCAACCATCACATCTTCATCAACTTATACCGCGTCGCTCATCAACTTGTCAACTTCGTTTTTCTTCATATACTCAGTTGCATCAACCTGTAAGCAATTCATCTGTTGTCAACAAATGTTTTACATACAGCTCCCCTTCCATATGGAATGGTTTGCCTGCCATTATTCGTCAACAGCCAACCATCAAACTTTTTAGGAAACGATTAAAGAACTTTTTTTTTATCCAGGCCTACGGAAACGTCAAAAGTCATTATTTTTCAGAGCGCCCCCTGAAGCTATGCATAGGACGCGATATAAATTAATAATAATTATAATGTGCAGATCTTAAAAATTATTATATATTTTAAAACTGAATACTCCTACAATAAAATATTTAACAAAATATTACATTAAATTTGACAAAAAATGTTTTACCCTCAGCATCAAAATCTGGTTAATTCTAATTGAAAACACTATTTTTAACAGAATCGTTTGAAAAAACTAAATTAACCAATAAAGTTGTCGACATTTTTTTAACAAATCCAAGCCTTTACACAACTTTTGTAACGCTTTGATGTTTTTGAATGTTTGATCGTGTAGCTTGAATTTGTTGACTAAACATGATTAAAACTAGAAAATACATTCAATAAATTAAATTATTCAGGTTGTATCAAGGTCTGGATTGGATTGGTAGTCGAATCAAAAGGTAATCTCAAGAGCCATCAAGTGGCTTTGATGGCAGAGTTCATGAGATGTTCTTTTTGTTTTAAACATATGCACCGAAAAGGGACATGGATATTTGATTTTTATTTTCAAATAATAAAATATTTTGTTACGGGGTTTTTTGTCATTTTGACCAGTTTTGGGTTGATAAATTGTTTTACAAGAAATTATGTCTATTCGCAATAAATTGATATCAGTGTGTTGATGATTGATGTTAACGTGTCATCATTTGCTGAATGCGTTCTATTACGGTCTTCAATAAATCTTGCGAACAAGTATTTTTGTACCGTGCGGTATGTCAAACCATTGGAATTTTTAAGTTGTTGACGATTTTTTATCATTGGCGGTTTAAATTTAGTTGAAACTATGCTCCATTGTTGTTTAATTTGTTAAATTGCAACGACTCACGAAGAAATGTGGAAAAAAGTTATTTTTTAACAGTTGTTAAGATTTCGAATGTTTAAATTTTTTTCTCGCATTTTCAAGATTTATTTCACTTTAAACTGTCTAAGAAAGAATTCAGAGAACGGCGATCAGTGGCAGAGCTGATTTTCCGTATACATAACGTCACATTGATAGTACCAATTAGTGCCAACGGAATTGGAAATTCCCGGTGGGCCGGCCTGCCAGAAAAAAATATTTTAAGATTTATCAGAAATTATCTTTAATTGTATGTCAGCTTCAAATGTTAATTTATATTGAATATAACCCAACTGAAACAGCAAAATCATTACATAAGTGTAATATATTTATATAATAAGCTGGAAAAGGAGATGGTGCTAAGTCTGAAATTTATTTTGCAAGGATCTATAAATTTCTTAAAATTTGCAAATTAAAAACGGTAAATAAGAGAAAAGAAATATTGACATTGAAGTGCAGTCTCTTTTGAAAGAAAAAAGTTTTATTGCCAACTAACCGCTTAAAATTGTGATAGATAAATTTCATGTCGTTGTTTGCAAAGTGGTTATTATGGGTCAAGTAATTAATAGTTTAAAACAGGTATTCTCTGAGCGTATTAATGTGTTATTTTGTTTATATCTAAAAAATTTTGCAGAACTTTTGAGATTACCTAGTGATGCGCTGCAACACTTGAGTGGGTTGCTGAAAAAAATTGATATTACTCCAACCAAAAATCATTTCAAACTAAATTATTGGATTTTGCAATCAATCAATCATCGTTTAGTGTCCAGAGACCCAGTTCCCCTGAGGTAGGACGTTGTTTTCTTTGCCATCAATTTTTTACGCCAAATTAGACGATCAGTTGTATACATTTCATTTAAATTTAGAGCTTTTATATCTTGCTCGATTGTTTGCGACCAGGACTTCTTTGGAAGGCCTTTGGGACGTGTGCCAGGTACTTCAACATCTGCAAGAGAAGTTATGGCACTGTTTTCACTTTGTTTGACATGACCAAACCACCACGGCATTCGTCCTTTATATCATCTTAACCAGCACGACGCAGGATTTCGGTAGATTTGATGTGGTCTTTCAGACTAATTCGTTGCATCCATTGGAGCTTTTCAAATTGGTTCGTTGAAGTTGTTGTTCCAATTCGGTTGTCATTGGTCATGTTTCTGCACCATATAACAACACCGGACGTATCACAGATTTATAAAGCCTTTATCGTAGTGGTAGTGGGATGTAACGCCGCATCAATATAGAAGCAAGGAGATGCCATTTATTCCAGGCTGCACGTATGCGTGCTCGAACGGCAGCTTCAGCTGTTCCAGTACAATCCAGAACATCTTCTAGATATTGAAACGATATGACTTTCTCTACCTTAATGGCTTCAAAAACATTGCTATTTCGAACTTGTTGTTGTGGGTTGATGCAAGCAGGACAAATAAAATTGGACACTTTATTTTTATTACCAATTATTTTTGAACAACGTTTGTGGCACCACTGGTTACACTGCTGACACTTGATTAAATTACCTACACCAGCTTTACAAACTGAACAGGGCCATCGTCCAGTAGCTGTGGATTGGATGGGTTCACCAGTGTTTATTGCTTTGGTTTTGCTGATGTTGACTTTGAATCCATGATCGGCAAGTCTGGTGTTCCAATCTTCAAACATCTGTGCTGCATTCTGCTCAGACGTGGCTGTTAAAACAATATCATCAGCATATATTAGATTCCAAATGTCACCAGTGCGTATCGGTTTTGTGATTTCTTCCATCACAGTTATAAATAACAGTGGACTGAGAATCGAGCCTTGATGAACTTCAACGCCGATGTCAAATGCATCTGTGTTTCCAACCGTTGTACTGACGAGAGTCTTAGTATTCGTATACATTTCCATCACAAGTCGAACAAGATATTCTGGAATGAGTTGTGGACGTAGATTCCACCTGATTGCTTCACGAGGATAATGTCATATGTGAGTCCACAGGGCCCTGCTGCTTTTTCATCCTTGAATTCTGTACGTGTCATCAGCGTATTGATGAAAGAGTAAACTAAAAGTGTTAATGATATTAGAAATAGGAGAGGTATAAGTAGTGAAAAAAATGGGACAAAGGACAGATCCTTGGGGGAATTCCAGTAGATAAGGTGAAGTTAGAAGAAGAGTGGGAGCCAAGTTTAATATATTGATAACGTTTAGAAAGGTAAGATTGAAACCAAGAAGAAAAAATCACAAAGCCGATACGCACTGGTGACGTTTGGAATCTAGTATATGCTCATGATATTACTTCAAAAGCCTGGATGTCAACAGTCTATTATTATTATTGTTATTATTAATTTAAATTAAAAGGCAGAGAGGAAGGCCGTAGAGAAGAGAATTACAATAATCTAAGCGTGATAGTACGAGACATCGAGCCAATGCAGAAGCAATATCTTCAGAGAGAAATTTACGAATATGACAAACAGTCCACATATAATAGTTACAAGATTTGATCAAAGCTAAGAGATGAGAATTAAAAGATAGAGAAGAGTTAAGCCTAAAAATTTAAGTTTAGAGGTTGAGGAGAGAGAAGAATCAGCCAATAAAACGTGTGACAGAGAGAAACATTTGGTTTGATAAGCTGTTGCGGAGTGCCAAGAAACATTACTACAGATTTGTGGGGAATTAACTGAAGAAAATTTGGTAAAGGCCATAGTACATGCATTTAAGTTGTCAAGCTGAGATATTCATTGCTTTGTCCAATTAGAACATCTATTTTGTTTAGAAAATAGTTTGGTAATATTTTTTTTTAGAAGTTGAGGACAGGTAGTCGAGTGCATTGGCAATTAAGCATGATCGATCTGTATGGCCGACCCCACGGATCTTTTTCCACTTCGTTGATGAGTTCCATTCAGCATTTTTTTTACTGTTTTTGATAGCCTTGTTGAGTTCGAGACAAGCTTTTTTGTAAGCTCATTTCAGTTCAAGATATTTGCTTTCTTCCAGGCATGCTGTGATGTCCTTCTCGCTTTAAGGCATTCTTTTTTACAAGCATTTATATTTTCGTTCCACCAGTAAACCGATGAGCCCTTTTTACATTATGTTTACTGGACTTACTCGCATCACAAGCTTTTACCAATTTTCTTATTAAGACCTCTGCTTTTTTTCAGCATTTTGTACGGCAATTGGTTCTCGATTAAAAGCAGCCATGAAAGCAGTTGGGTCACCAAACTTTGCTTTTCATCTAACAGCATTTGTTTTTGTCTGCTTCCATCCAGAGATGGAATTGGTAGTCACCTCCCAAAACAGTGCACAGCGGTCGCTTGATGTGTAAGCGTCCATTACCTCCCAGTTTTTCTTTACCAGGCAATAACTAACAAAGGTGAGATCTACATACCATGAAACTTGCTTCTTCTCTACTAAATACAGGTTTATCCCCGCTATATAACAGAACTACGTCCAATAAAGCCATGGCTTCTAAAAGCGCTTTTCTTCTTGCATTAGTTTCTTAGCTACCCCAATCCACCGCCTGAGCATTAAAATTTCAGGCTATAGTACAGAACCTGCCTCAAATTTTGAATCAGTCGATCAAGGTAGTTAAATTCTTCAAGAGAAAGACTGGGCAGAGCATAGCAGCTATAGAGATGTAAGCCTTCTAGGTTTTTAATTACATTCTTAAAGGGTAATTAGCATATAATGTATGTGTGCCATTAAGCTATCGGAATCTATCATTGATACACAGTCCCTTAGTGATGTACACACGTGGTTAATATTATTCACAGAATAAAGCTCTTGGCAATCCATGATGTTTAAAAAATTCGTTAAAAGTGTGGCGATTTATTTTTTTAGCGAGTTCAAACCGGCTCAGGCAAGGTTTTGCGATGGTTTTTTTGAGGTTCGAGTGTGAGGTAAAAGTTTATAACTTTATATTATAAGTGTTCGATATTAATTTATTATTATTTGTGTAAGGTATTCATCTTTTTATCTACGTAATTCACTTCCTACTTTTTTTTCATAATATTATTAATAATTAATTTTATATATATACTTAAAATTAGTAAAATATTAATTATTAATAAAGATGTTTGCTGGTTTATTAATTAAAAAAATATTTCAAAAGAACAGTAAATACATAAATTACAAATTAAATTTTTTTATTATACTTTAATTTTAGTTAGTTAAAAATTTTGTAAATTTGTTGGATATCCCATACATTTTAAATTTTAAAAGTTGTATTTCACTATTGACTATATATATGCCTATGTTCTATTTCTGGTTTATGGAGGGCATCTATGTTTGCCAAAATCTTTATATAAAAGATTTTTTTTATTGCCCTTGGATTGGACTTAATAGATAAAAATAATTTTAATATATAATATAACATAATATAAAATTTATAAATGAATAAATATATATGTATAATTACTGTCACACTTCCTGAACAAACATCTATGCATATACAACAAAAATCTCTATATAACAGATTTTTTTATTCCTTTAGACTTGGAAAATTACATGTAAAACTGTTTCAATAGAAAAAAACTAATTTTTTTTCTTCTTTTCCATAATAAACAAAATTTGCAAAAGTTAAATCATCTTGAACATATGAATCTGGAGAAAGAGCAACTACATGAAGAACTGACCAAGCTTACAAACCATAGAAAGTTGTAAAAAAGTATTGATGCGCCTAAAATGCAGGCCAGATGATGATGATCATGTATAATGTATATGTATATCACATTTATATTTAATTTATATTAATATTGACATAGAATAAATATTGTTTTGATTTTTAGCTGTTCTAATAAAACAGTTTCGTACATAAGTGTGACATTGATAAATAAAATAAAAATAAGTTTGAGTTAACAGTTCATTGAGTTCATAGTTTTAATTAAAAAATTTGTCATTTAGAATATAAATTTTATTATGCAAAATGCTGGATTTATGAAATTGAACTGAATTATTATAACTATATTATATATATATTATATCACATCGAAGATAAAATTTTAATTAGTATATTGTCGTATTGCTATTTAATCAATCAATCAATATTCGTTTAGCGTTCAGAGACCTAGTTCCCCTGAAGTAGGACGTTGTTTTCTTTGCCGTCAATTTTTTGTGCCAAATTAGACAATCATTTGTATCTATTTCATTTAAATTAAGAGCTTTCATGTTTTGCTCGATTGCTTGTGACCAGGATTTTTTTGGACGGCCTTTGGGACATGTGCCAGGTACTTCAACATCTGCAAGAGAAGTTATGGCATTGTTTCCACTTTGTTTGACATGACCAAACCACCGCATGCTGCTGTTATTTTATTTATTCTATTAGCATTTCTCAGGGTATAGAACCATGATTAAATGCTTTTTTGGACGAATTTACTCTTTAACTGCTTCCTATATATATATATATATATATATATATATATATATATATATATATATATATATATATATATATACAATACAGTACAATACAATATTTTATTCGACCTCAAAGAAAAATAAAGGTACAGGACTACTGTACTGAGTCTTTAAGAGACTCATCGTGCACAGTAACCTTAATAGAAAATAATCCAAATTAACATGTAAATGTAATGTCATCAAGAGAAAAAGTAAAAATTTTAACAAATATGATAATGATTGTTGATCAGTTGAAAATTTTTAAGTTAACAAGAATGTTAAATAGAATAGAATCATTTGGAACATAGTCACATTCGAAATTGTTTGTACATAAATACCCAATAAATAAACATAATAAACAAACGTAATTTAATCATATACATATATACAAAATAAACAAAAGCTTACATATTGTGGTTTAGATATATAATCCCAAAACATGCGTGAGTACATGTTCCAGGCATCATCGTACAATGGATATCGAGAATTAAAAATACTAAACAATAGACTTACGGTATAATACAATTCAGTCGTTAAACAAGATAA